CGCGCCGCGTGGCCGCGCCCGACTGGCGTGGCGGCGAGCCGGGGGATTGAGGATCGAGGTTGCCGGAAGATTTTCTTGGTTCTTGGCGGTTTTCTCAGCCGGCATGGTTTCCAGCGGCTGCGCCTCGCCGAGGGCGTTCCGAGAGTGCCCGTGTCGTCCCGAACGGCCGCCGGAGGCCGAGGCCAGCTTCTTGGGCCGTTTTGGGCTAGCTTGAGAGCTGAAAAGAACAACATGCGCAAGTCCTTGAAGCACAACGGAAAATCATTCATTTTGCCCCTTTCGGGCTTTCCCAGAGGACGTTTTGGAGGGCTCTCGGGCCGTTTTGGAGGAATCCTGCGAGCCTTTTGGGCCGTCTTAAGCCATCTTGAGGCCATCTTGGCCCGTCTTGGGGGCATCCTGGGGCTATCTGAGCCGTCTCGAACGCCATCTTAGCCATCGTGGAGGCATCTTGAGGGCCATCTTGGGCCATCTTGGCCGTTTTGGAGGCCTCTTGGGCCGTCTTGGGGCCCTCTTGGGGCCGTCTTGGGGGCTTCTTGGGCCGTCATGGGGCCATCTTAGAGGCCTCTTGACGATCTTGGGGCGACCTTGGGGACCTCTTGGGCCGTCTTGGACCGTCGGAAAGCCGAAAAGGCGCGAATACACGAATCCTTCAAAAACTTGAAGAACATACATAAATATTGCCCTTTCGGGCCTTCATGGAGGACCTCTTGGAGGCCTGTTGGGCCATCTTGGACGCCTCGTGGGAGCCGCTTGGGCCCATCCAGGGCCGTCTTGGGTGCATTTTGGGCCGTCTTGGAGGCATTTTGGTGCCATGTTGGCCGTCTTGGCCCTCTTGGGGCCGTTTTGGAAGCCTCTTGGGCCGTCATGGGGCCATCTTGGGGGCCTCTTGGGCAACTTTGGGGCGATCTTGGGGGCCTCTTGGGCCGTCTTGGACCGTCGGAAAGCCGAAAAGGCGCAAATGACCAAATCCTTCCCAAATCCAAAGAAAATCAATGATTTTGGCCTCTTCGGGCCCTCCTAGACGACCTCTTGAAGGCCTCTTGGGCTGTCTTGGAGGCCTCTTTGGAGCCTCTTGGACCGTCTGGGCCTCTGGGACCCTTCCGAGGCGACCCCGGCGGACAGGCCAGGCGGCCGGGAAGCTCGCCGCCGCCCGCCGCTCGGTGAGCGAGCCTCGGGCCCGAGGCGAGGATGAGTTGCCTGGGCCAGCCTCGGGTCGGAGGCGAGGACGGTGAGGCGGAGGGGGAAGCGGAGGGGGAGGGGGAGGAGGCGGAGGTGGAGGGGGAGGAGGAGGACGAGAAGGAGGAGGACGAGGACGCAGCGTGCCCGGCCGCATGCCGACGGCGAGGGCGACTCCGCCGCCACGCGCCGCACCGCCCCAGAAGGTGGAGAGAGGGGGAGGACAAGGAGGAGGTCGAGAACCAGGAGGAGGAAGAGAGGCGGGACAGGAGAAAGTGGAGGTGAGGAGGGGGAGAAGGAGGACGAGACAGAGGACAAGCGACCTTCCTCCATACCCAAACTGACATGCTTCTAGCCGCCCCTTCCCGTCTTCGAATCTGTCCCTTGCCAACGTGTCGCAGCAATTGCGGCACGCTTCCCGGCGCCTGCCAAGGACTGCCTCCCTCGCGATCCCTGGTTTTCTCCATCTCCCATGGACCCACATCGTCATTGTATGATCCTTGGCACGCGTGCCACATGTATGCATAAATATATATATATATATATATATATAAATGTATAAAATGGCACGGAACACATACACACATGTATGTTTTAATACGCATCTAACATATGCATCTACCAATGCAAATTAGTTATATTTATACGACTAGAAATGTACAGGGGGTACTGGCGATCACGTTCAGCATCTGATTGTCGATGGCAGAATGTATAATGTGCATTTTCAAGGTCTGATACATATACCAGCGTAAGTGTATGGTTCGATCCTGGTCGTCTGTAGCATGGAATAAAACAATCCGCCGACCCAGTCGTCGTGTGTGAAACGCTGTCGTCATCTTCGTCGTCGTCGTCGCCAGTCCACAGGAGATCTAGAAACGAACAGAAAACAAAAACGATGTAAAAGAAACGTCGTAGCTAAATATCTTCCATCCGGTTTTCTCCTCCCTGACGGGGGGGGGGGCATGGGCACTACCGGCTTTGATGCACCAGCGGGGGCCTGCGTTGTCAATGCTTTTCTTGAAGGCAGAAAGAGAAAAAGAGAGAGCGAGAGAGAGACAAAAAAGGAAGAGAAAGTGTGAGAGAGAGAGAGAGAGAGAGAGAAAGAGAGAATGATATACATATATATATATGTATATATATACACACATAGGTGTATGCATGTATGTTTGTATCATTGTAAGTGTGTATGTATACATATTTATCTCGGCGCGCGGGCATATCGGTGCCCTTGGTTTTCTTATTGAAGTCATTCAACATCGGAATTACTGAGTAAGGAAGCCTTATTAAGGAGCCCCTCGTAAGGAATCCCCAAGAACCTTTAGTAGGAAATTCAGATTAAGAAATCCGTCGTCGGGAACTCTTAGTGAGGCTTTCTTACGGGGGAAGCCTTGCTAAGGAGTCCTTGATCGTAGGTCCGAATTGGGGAACCCTTGGTAAATAATCCTTGTTGTGGAACCCCTCGTGAGAAGTATCACGCGACGGGTCCATGGTTAAAACAAATCACGTACCCCCCAAAAAATGCCGGAGCCATGGATCCGTACTAGGAGTCCTTCGTGGGGAATCCGTAAGAAGGAATGGAATTCCTAGTACGGGATCTTTCATAAAGAACCCGCAGTAAGAAAGCCTCACTAAGGAATCGATGTGGAGGAGTCTTGAACATATAGAGCCCTGAATAAGGTTCAGTGTCTAGGGAACCCGTACCAAGGAATACTTGACCGTGAAGCCTGCCTACCAGCAGTTCCCACTAAGGAACCCTTGAAACGAAGTTCTTAATCAGGCACTATCAGTAAGGAACCCTTTTTGAAGGAGTCCTTAGTAGGGAACCCTGAGTCACATTTCCTCACTTGGGAGCTATTACTCAGGGATCATTGACAGTGAATCCTGGCTGGCCTTAATCATGAGTTCCTAACGGAAAATCACTCGTGAGGAATATTGCATGAAGAGCCCTCAGAAACGGAACCTTTGTTACGGTGTTCTTCCCATGGGGGTCCTGGGTCCTGAATACGTAAGGTTTCTCTAGTAAGGACTGCTTAGTAAGGTATCCTATGATAAGGAATATTCGTTAATGGGGTCTTCTGTAAGAAATCCCTCGCAACAGATCTTGAAGAGGGAACCCGGACGAATGATTATTTAATCGCGCCCCCTTCATAAAGACTCAGTGGTCGGGAATCCGCAATAAAGAAATTTAAACAAGGAGCCCTGTCCGGGAAAACCATAGCAAAGAGCCCTGAGTAAGGAGTTCTCAACAAGGAACCCTTAAAAAGGAGTCCTTCGTAAGGATTCGTCCAAAAGGAAATTCTTGAAGGAGCCCATGACAGGAAACCCGGAAGAAGGCTTCCATACAAGGGAACCCTTGATCGTGGCTAAGGGGCCCTTAATAAGGAACCCGCGTTAAGGAATCACCAACAAGGTGCCCGAACTTAGAATCCCTCTTAAGAGGTCCTCCGTAAGGATTCCCTTGTCAGGAACCCTGAGCAATGGGTCCTTGATGTGGACTCCTGACTAAGGAACCCTTACGCACGAACCCCTGTTAAAGATGCCTTGATCACGGGTCCGAAATCAAAACCCTTCGTAACTATTCCGTGCTAAAAAATCCTTGTTACGGGATCCTTGAGCAGGAACCCTTTTAATCCAGAATTTTGACAGGGGGGCCCTAAGTCAGTATCCCCGTGTAGCGCCTTGTTATTAAGGATTCTTCATAGGGCATCACTAGTAAGGAGTTCTTAGCACGAAATCCTGAGAGGAAAGTCCTTCGTAAAGAACCCGCATGACTGACTTCTCACTAAGGAACTCTTTAAACACGAACCATTACTGAGGAATCCTTGTGAAAGGGGGTCTTAAATAACGAGCCTGGAGTAAGGTTTCCTTTTAGGGAACCCTTACCCAATAATCCTTGATAGCGATTCCTCACTACACTTAATAAACGGATCCCTTTACCAAGGCATGTTGCATATCGGATCCTTGGAGAAGGAACCGTTTACTAAGGTGCCCTGACTAGGATATCCTTAGTACGGTATCCTTAGTAAGGAAGGCTGAGTCAGTTATCTTTACAATTGGTTCCTCCTGTGGCAGAGGGGGGGTTTGGCCCTGGGGAAAAAACCCAAGAACAAAAAAACGCCCTCCCGAATCTACTGGTCCCGTTTTTCTCCGGGGCCAGCGGAAGAAAAACGGTACCAGTGGACTCGTTTGTTTTTTGGGTTTCTTTCCTGGGGTCTGCCCCAAAAGGAACCAATGTGTACTCCCACACGCAAGGGGGATTGATGTGTCATCCCCCACAAGATGAATCGACTGATCCCCCACAGCCACACAAACAAAGGGAGAGACATCCACGTGAGCGTCCTCCAAAGAGGGGGAGAAAGAGAGAAAGAGAGAGAGAGAGAGAGAACAAGAGAGGAAGAGAGAGAGACAAACAAAACGGTAGACAGAGGGAACAGAAGAAGGCGCGAGGACGACCACGGTGCAGACACAAGAAGCAGACAGCAAACACACGGCGCAAAACGACGCGCCCCACCCCGCCCGCCTCGAGAAGGTGTGGAGGGCAAGTGGCGGCCGGGGACTCCGCGGGGCGGGACGGGGCCTAAAACAGGGCTAGGATCGGGATAAATCGCTCCAGAGCGTTCCGGAGGCTCTCAGAGCGTTCCGGAACGCTCTGGAGCGGCCGCGGCGCCCAATACATCCTCCAAACCCGCCGATTCTCAGAGATTTCGAGTTATCCTGATCCGATTTTGTGCCAATCTTCTCGTCGTTTTAGGCCCCCGATCCAGGAGGGAGGGGCGGGCGGGGGCGGGGCGGGGCGGCCGGCGGAGCGGCGGCCGCGGGCGGTCCATGGCGGACATGCAGATGCGCATGATCCACGCCTCGGAGGGGCGCCTCCCCATCTTGCCCTTTCTTTTCCTTCGTTTCCTCCTCCTCCTCCTCCTCATCATCATCATCATCATCGCCTCCTCTCTCCTCCTCCTCCTCCTCCTCCTCCCTCCTCCCTCCTCCTCCTCCTCCTCCCTCCTCCTCCCTCCTCCTCCTCCTCCTCCCTCCTCCTCCCTCCTCCTCCTCCTCCTCCTCCTCCTCCTCCTCCTCATGATCCCGCCCGGCCCGAGCCGTGCTCGGCCGTCGGGCTCCGGAGGGGCGGGGGGCGGGGGGATGCGAGGAGGAGGAGGAGGAGGCGAAGGAGGAGGAGGAGGAGGAGGCGGAGGAGGAGGAGGCGGAGGAGGAGGAGGAGGAGGAGGGACTGCTGCGGGGGGTAGGCGGAGGGGGCGCCTCTCCCCGGGCGGCGCCCCGTGGAGGAGCCGGGGCGGCGCCTGCGAGGTCTCCCCCCCGGGCGCCCGCCCGTGCGCGCCCCGCGCGCTGGGCGCGTGTGCCGAGGCTGCGCCCGGTGGCCGCCCGCGTGCGCCTCTTGGGTGGCCACAAAGCTTTCACCACGCAGCCTGCTCCACGCAGCTCACCCCCGAGGTGGCTCAGATGGCTCCAAGAGGTCCATGGCCCCAAGATGCCCAAACGATTGGTGCACCTTCTGTTCTTGAAGGATGTTCGCGTTCTCGCCCTTTCGGGCTTCCGACAAAAGGTCGTATAGAGGCCTCCGAGGTCGCCCGAAACGGGCCAAGTGGGCCCCAAGACGGCCCAAGAGGCCCTTTGAATTGCTCCACGGCGGGCCCAGAGACGTCCAAGATGCCCCGAAAGCGTCCCAAGAAGGCCCCCAATCAGCCCGTTGAGGACCCCAAGACGGCTTCCGAAGACCAAGCGGCCCGCGACCCCAAGAGGCCCTCCGAGGCCCTCCGAAGGCGCAAGAGCCCCCCAGAAGGCCCATGAGGACCCCAGAGGCCCTCATGGGCCCATGACCCCGCGCTTGTAGGTCTACAGGGGCCCCCAACACGCCCGCGAGAAGCCCCATGAGGCCCCCAAGGCCCTCTGAAGCCACCAAGAGCCCCCCAGAAAGTCCTCCAGATGCCTCCTCCTCCTCCTCCTCCACTCCCTCATCCTTCCCCTCCTCCAGCTTCTTATCCTCTCTCTCTTCCTCTCCGAAGGGTTCCCCCAAGGTTCCCACAACGGCTCGGGGAGCACATAGCAAGACTTCGACGTAACGTTTGGCGACATAGGCATTTCCAACAGGTAAGGGGGCGTTTTTTTGCTGCGTGCGTCTTCGATAGAACTGTCAGTGGCATGACATCGGCGTTGTCTAGAGAGCAAACTGTCAAGACATACGCGCGGACCGACAAACACTCCGACATCGCGATTACACATGAATTGTACGTGTGTGCGCGCCGGTGCGTTTACGCATACACAAACAAACACGAGCGCACGTACACACATGCGCACACCACACGCGCACACACGCACGCGCAGACACACACACAAACACACTTGTTCCCAGGCCTCGCCGATTACTTCAATCGACGGGGCAACAAGGGCGGGACGCGCTTAAACCTTATCGGCCGTACACTGACGAACATGTACACACAATGAAAGCAACATGCCACACACAAATAACATAACAGCAACACAAAATACAACACAACACAACACAACACACCACACCATACCACAGCACACACAAACACAATGCACACACAGACACACACAAGCAACCACAAACACACACACACGCACACACACTCATAGACACACACACACACGCGCAATCACACAGACAAACGCATGCACACACAGATACAGACAGACACTCACACGCAAACAGACACACTCACAAACACACGCACACACATATTCACACAGACACACACAGATAGACACACACACACACAAACAGAAACGAACATAGACACGCACACGCACACATACAGACACACGCACAGACAAACACAGACACATACAGACACAACAACAGACACACCAACACACAAACACACACGGACACACATACATACTCAGACAAAGACAGACAGACAGACAGACAGACAGACAAACAGGCAAGCAGAAAGACGGCCACACAAACAGACAGAGAGACAGACAAACGGACACGTAGAGACAGATCGACACACAGACATATAGGAAGGAAGACAGACACACAGACAAACAGACAGACAGAAAGGCAGGCAGGCAGGCATGCAGGCAAGCAAGCAAGCAGGCAGGCAGACAGACACACATAAAGACAAACACGCAAACAAACATGCAGGCAGGCAGGCAGGCAGGAAGGCAGGCATGCAAGCGGGCGGGCGGGCGGGCGGGCGGGCGGGTGGACGGGCGGACGGGCGGGCGAGCGGGCGGGCAGGCGGGCAGGCAGACAGGCCGGCGGGCAGGCAGGCAAGCAGGCAGACAGGCAGGCAGACAGACAGACAGACAGACAGGCAGACAGATTGACAGACAGACAAAAAAACAGGCAAGCAATCAGGCAGGCAGGCAGGCAAGCAAGCGGGCAAGCAGGCAGGCAGACAAACAAGCAAACGGACAGAAAGACAGGCAGACACACAGGCAGGCAGGCAGACAGGCACACAGACACACAAACACACAGACGCACAAACTCATATGCACGCGCGCACACACCCCCATACCCCCGCACCCCCACCCCAAAACTTATTCGGAAAGAGCGAAAGCAACAACCTGTTGGAAGACAAAGAAGAGGAGCGGCAGCAACACCAGCAACACGAGGAGGAGGCGGACGACGAAGGAAAAGGAGGAAGAGGAGGAGGAGGAGGAGGTGAGGCGGACCTTTCTTTCCTCCTCCTGTGATTCCTCCTGCTCCGGGCGCCCCGTCTTCTTCAGACGACGGGGCACATGTCGCGTTTGATGAATCGCCGTGAAGTGGTGGCTGGCGTATGCGTACTATTGTGTTTTACTCTGCTCGGTTCGATTCAGGCCCAATGTGGTATATGGCGTCTAATCGGTCGGTGCTGCCTTTGCTTGTTTCTGTGGCCAGCCTGGGTTTGGCGCGCGCGTCGCGTATTATGGGCCGCCAGTACTTGGTATCTACTGAGTTCTTCTCAATCGCGCTGTGTTCGGCTATGTTCCGATGATTGTTTCTGTTCTGATCTCGGACGCCTGTCGCGCTTGATATGTCGTCTAATCGGTCGTTGCCGTGCTTTTTTTTCCTTCTGGCCAGGCGTGGATGCGAGTGCGCCTTTGATTTGTCGTTGCTGGACTTAGCAGATATGTTATGCCCGACAATATTATTTCCTGCTATGCTGCAATCAGATTTGCTGTGATCGCGACGGGACGGCGTGACGCCGTGGCGCCTGTCACGCTAGGTGCGTCGTCCGATGGGTCGTTGCGGCGCCTCTTTGCACATGTGGCCGGGCAAACTTCGGCGCGCGCGTCGCGTTTGATTATGTTTTGGCGCGACTGATCTGTTATGGAATTTCTCTTCAAGTGTATGTCTCCTCTGTTACAGTTCGCACCGTTCTGCTCACTTCTGCGATTTCATACTTTGGCATGGCATGGCATGCTCTGCTCTGTAACCCCGCGTTGCAGGCATGGGGGCAACGTGGGTCACATAGATGAGCGAGAGATGTGCGTTGAACGTCTTCGGACACCAAGTGTCAATCAAGTCCTGAGCACGCCAGCGCCCCAAAAGCCCAAACGGCTACGGAGACCCTGTCTGTCAGAAAGCTGAAAGGGGGGGTGCGCGCGACAGCGGGTCCACTTTCAGCGGGGCAGACAAGAGGAAACAGACGCCATCACCGGCCCCCCGAGCACTCTCGAGCCCCCCGAATCTCGACATGCCCCCCCAGTGAAGGGCCCCCCCAGCCCGCGCCGACTCTCTCTTTGAAGCCTGGCGCGAGCGACTCTTCAAGGAACTCTTCAGAGCGCGCTCTGACATCGTACCATCCCCGTCCGCTAATCACAACGCGCCTCGGCGCAACAGGTCAACTAAGGCGAGGTCGCCGCGCCCTGGGCCGGCCTCGGCCAAAGCGTCCGCCGCCATTCCTCCGCGAGGGGCCCAGCGGATCTGAAAATCAATAGAGCTCATGGCGTTTTTACCTACTGCTAGCTTTGTAGCCGTGCGTCTATCTTGTCTTGAGCCGGCACTGCTCCTACTTAGCGTAATAAATATACCTTAGCGTCGACTGCGGACAACGAGGGAACATCTTCAGCCAGCGAGCAATGAAAACTCAACGCGACCGAGAACGGGGCCTGTTCCAAGTGCCAACTGGGTCGACCTACGTCATGAAGTACAAGGTCCCTCCACATCACCTACAACCGCTGAGCCTCGGCGAGGGCCGACGACGGGCCAGGGGTCTCTGCTGCCCTCGTGGAGGGCGCGACGCGCTTGAGTCGGGTGGGCCGCCGCGCGTGGAGAGAAGCCCTCGCTCTCTTGTTCGTCCTGATGTCTGCGTCTGCCGCGACGACGGGGAAGGCCCCTTGGGCGCCGTCTGTTCGAGCCGAGCCCCGTCCTCCGGCGCCCGAGGTAGTCGCGGAAGTGGCTGCGAGAGGGTCCAAGGGCCTAATCGCTATTCTCTGGGGCGCCGATGAGTTAAAATGGCGAACAATCTTGAGGCGCAGAAAAGCATCTCCAAGAGTGGGAGTGGGAAGAGCTGCAGACTGGAGCGACGCGCCTCCAGCGACGTCTGGTCGAGTCTCTCGGGCGAGCCGCTGGGCCAGCGCGACCGTGGCGCAATATCCTCGCACCTCTTCTGGAGAAAAGGGAGATGAAGGAGGGTCCCCCAGCCGATGTTTCTCCGATCGCATGGGGGGCAACCGCTCGAGCGCGTATAATTCTTGTTCAGCCAGAATCTTGCCGTCAGGCAGCTGCTTCAAATGGCGCCCTGCGAAGTCCGCCTCCCCGATCTTCCACTTGCCGAAATGAAATCTGGTATCTGGTTTTTCTCGAAGCGACCCCCGTTCGCGAGGGTGGGAAGCAATGATGAGGTCATCGAGCTCAATCAGGGCGATCGAGAGAGGGGCGCCG